CACATTTAGCTACCCCATTCAGTTTTTCATATTTAAAAATCATATCTTACCAACAGAACTTTCCAAATTAAACATCAAAATTATTTAACTGACCTTTACCCTATAGAATCAGGAATCCCCAAAGGAAGCGTACTTGAACCATACTTGTATATTCCCTTTACATCGGACCTACCAGAAATTGTAAATACTATCGTTGCCACATTTGCGGATGATATGACCATTTTATCTGTCCACGACAAACCGGTTCAAACTACAGCAAATTTACAGTTAAACTTGGATGAAATTTCACATTGGTTTAAAACATGGAGGTTCAAAATTAGTGAAAATAAATCAGAAAACATTACTTTTACCCTAAATCTGGCTACATGTCCTCCAGTATCCATGAACAATATTTACCACCCTAAAGTAACAGAAATAAAATACTTGGGCATGCACTTAGATGCAAAGCTTAATTGGAAGGCACATATCTGGACTAAAAGACAATATCTAAATTTTAAAATAACTAAGCTTAATTGTCTTCTTGGATCTAAATCAAAACTTAGTACACAAAATAATGTTACTTTGCAGAAAAGTTATAAAACCAATTTGGACTTATGGGATCCAACTTTGGGGATCATCAAGTACATCAAACATTGAAATTTTTCAACGATACCAATCAAAATTGCTACGTAAAATTGTCAACGCACCTTGGTTTGTTACTAACAGAACACTTCATAATAATCTTAGAATTTGAAAAGTCAAAGAAGGAATTACAAAATCTAGTGAAAAAAGATAATCAAATTGGAAAATCATTCAAAATCGTCTTATACAAAACAACTTTTGCAAAACTTATGACAGCTAGCCTGATCATACTACTGGAACGAATTACACGCGGTTGGTACCAAATGAAAGATATTTTCCTGTAGATGTGATGAATCCCTTTATAAATTAATATAGGCTCAAAAATAAACACAAGAAACTAATTTAAAATTTTAAAAATAACTTGGGCCGTATGGGTTGCCATGTAGGTAACGAAATAACAACTAAATGTAAACAGAAAATAAAACCAAATAGAAGAAATTCCATTTACATGTCTTATTTATAGCATAGGGTAAATATAGATAAGTTGGAAAAATACATACTTTTGGTCAAGTTTCCGACCACAAGGCGAGCTCTCATCTTGCACTAAATTTATTGGACAATCACAACACCATTTACGACATTAAACCTCCCATTCAGATTCGGCTGTGTTATCAAAATTATCTTTGTCAGCTAGTGTTGAGAGTGGTAAATCACTATACTTTTAACGTTGTATTATTGTTAATGTATTTGCTTATTTTTCTACTTTTGAAACAGACTGTAAATTAAATAAAGTTGAAACCCGATTAAGCTACAACCCATTTAATAGTATATTTCGTACCTAGGGCCAAAAATAAGGTTTTGCCGGCTCGAGATAGTTCGACTTCGTCTCGATCGAGAGCTGCAAAACCATTTCGGTCCGTGGTACGAACGCTATTTTGCACCACACTATACCCTATTGCCACTATTCACCTCTATAATAATGCACACTGATGGTTAGCACAACTACAACTTTAAGGTTATGTGAAGAAATAATTCGAGGCATCAGCAAAAATAAAAATAAATTGTTGCTAGGCAACGGTGACAATAAAATAATTCTATGGATACTGATTGTGTATTTAATATGCATTCATGTTTTAAGTAAGTAAGCGGGCAGCTAATTTTGCGGCCCTAGGGACCAGCGACCACAGAATTAAAATTAAAATTTTAATTCTGTGGTCGCTGCTAGGGACCTGCTCGGTCCCCGAATAACGATGACAGCTGGCATGGCCAGCAAAACGTAACTTTCAGCCACCAATTAACGTATGTAAAACCACTAAAACATCATAGTGTGGTGAAAAAAATTATACATACTTTCGATACATGCGATTGCATACAATCAAAGCTCACAACTGAGTTTAAATCAGCTGATTTTCACTTCCTAGGGAGAAAATAGTGAAAAGACCTACTTTAAGCTCTTTAAATACGGCTGTTTTTGCTGCAGTATGACTCAGCGTTTGCAGTATGCTTCAGTGTTTTAATAAATATTTGATAGTTAATTTGTCGATAGTGTAATGCAGGTTAATCTTATATAATTCATTACAATGATCAACCACCAAAACACATACTTCAGATTCAGTTAAGCCTAAAATTATTCAAAGATCCCGTGGGTGATAACATAGGTACCAAAAAGATATTTTTTAGATTTTAAGATGAAAAATTAACTGATGAAGAAGCGGATGAAGAAACAGTCTGATCTAGAGTTAAGTTCACAAGAACAGTGGGAATGAAGCTAGTAATTAAGTCTAGTAATTAACGGTAGTATACAAAATACGAAACGTGACATTGGATTGGGCCGTTGAGTATTTTGAATACAATAGGGGTACTCGTCAAACAGTTAAATAATATTATTTCTATGAATTTAATGGGTAACTTTAAAAGATTAGGTGGAATTTCTAACAATACTTCACCGTAATCAGCAGCAAACATACATAAGGAATTCCAGTTATTACAACAGACGCTCTGACAGCCCATCAACATAAGACCTGCAGACGGGTCAACGAATATGCTGAAAAAAATAACGAGATAAGTGAGTGTTAAAGTGACTATTTATATCCGGTCGTCATACGCCACGAGACATTCCGTCAGTGAATGGGAGGCCCACACAAGGGTGAAGATCGATAACGCGCTGCATTTGGAATGGAATAAATTGCACAGGTCCTCGAAAAGTACTAAATTCTCGAGTCCCGAAAAAGTCAAGTCCCCAAAATGTCTTATACACTTACATATATATGAATTTGAACGGATGGTGTTTTTGGCCTCTAGGGACTCAAAACGAAAAATTACATCGGTCCCGGGTCCAGGTGTTCCCATGAGTTATACGGTAATAGCTTATTCCCTATATGCGAAATTCGCTAAAAACCTAATAATTCTATAGAATAACAAGCTGTACCCGCTGGCTTTGCCCCGTTAAACTAATTAATTTTCAAGATTAGCTCGTTCGCATGGCTCAATCAAGTCCTGGTTGAAGTTCGTTCGCTACGCTCTCTCACCTTTAGGTTGGAGCTCGTTCGCTGAGCTCACTTGCCTTGGGGTTAACTCACCTCCAGGTTGAAGTTCGTTCGAAACGCTCACTCAGCTTTTGGTTGCAAATTAGCTGTTGTCATAAATTGTTAAATTGACACAGCTGTTATGATTCATTAATTCCTTTTAAATATGAAAAATCATAAGGTTAAGATGGGAAACTCCAGAGCCACTGGGGCGGAGCCCGAATGCCCGATCATAATAAAAACTACTTAGTTTTCCTATTTAATGCCCAAAGAATCGGTGTATCGAATTTCAGCCTCCTAGGTAAATGGGAAGTGGGAGAATTAGTGATGATGCGTGAGTGAGAGTGAGTGTGTCAGTGAGGGCTTTGCCTTTTATAAGTATACATAGCACATTCTACCAGTTGTTATTTTAAACAAGTTATATTGGACTAAAACAAATCGATGATTACAAAGAATACTTTAAAAAATAATTTGAACATCCTACTACTGTATTTTACTATGCACATTTAATTAAACTGCCATCCTCGTACCGAAGAATTAAATGTATCAATGGTCAGCATTACACATACATAGTATAAATAAGTCAACCATAAGTATGTATTTGAATTTTCTTCCAAATGCTGAATTTGTGTAACAAATACTGAATGTTACAGCTGTTATGTTAAGCAAATTATAATGTACTAAAAGCTAGCTAGAAGCATTGACTTATTGGAGAAGGTTAGCATCGGCTGCTAGACTTTTTAAAAACTAAAACTTAATTTATAAAAAACTGGGACAATAATTTTAAATTATGGCTTTGAAATTATCTAGTTCTCAAAATTGTCTTTCTTTCAACACAAAACTAATGAAAATCCATCGACTGGTTGATTCAGAATCGTGAAAAAACCCCATTTACGTTATAATAATATATATGATAGTTTGGACAGGTTTCAACCCTTCCGTGGCGTAATACATTACACAGTTTATATGTAGACTACATTATAACTCATAAAATAGTTCTACAATTAAATGGATCTCCTTTTACAAACGTATATAATAACCAGAAATGTTCAGATCGTCCTTGCGTGTATTTTATGCCACAAATTTTGACGAAAGGCTTTTCATTACATAAACTATACCTATTTACAGTGTTGACCAAACAGTTGGCAAGAAGCATTAATAAATAAGCTATGTACCAAATATGATAATTTTAGCTCTATTCTAATTATGACAAAACACGAAGTAACTAAAAGCGAGTTTTGTTGGTGTAGTAAGCGTTGCAGGAGGTCTACTTTACACTGAATCGACGTTCACTTTTATTGCTTTTGATCTTCCGACACTTTTGACTCAGCGAAACTGAACTTGTATTTTACCGTATTTCGTTATATTAATCCTGCTGTTGCATTAGGTCAAATTCCCAATAAGTCAATTGCTTTAACATAGACTAAACTTTTAGCCCGGACTGTACTATTTGACTTTCTGGGATTTTTGATCTACAGACACTGCAAACATTGTAGTTTTTGACCTAGCGGCACAGGTATAAATTATTTGATCTTCCGGGACTGTTGACTTTCAGCAACATTCCCGTGAGGAGGAGCCCAAATGGCAAGTACTTTGCGGGAATCCTTATCGTACAGAGCACAGGGTCTTCCTTCACCGTGAGCGTTGCAGTACGGGAGGGGGGCAGAGAGAGGACTTTGCCCTAGACCCAGATATCGTTGCCAATGGGCTAATTAATGAAGCTATTTAACAAAAGGTTAGACAGTAACAAGACCAGGGTTTGGACCGTTCCCTTGTAAAAACCATAAAAATTTCAATGGCTTAGATTTGCACGAACAAAAAGGACTTGATCAAATTACTTAACAATTATTGTCTTAGCCCTGATAATGTTTAAACCTTCAAATTCAAGTGATCTTCAGATAGTTGTTTACTCACTGAGTGATATTTGTGCCTCTCCTCAAGGACGTTGTAGATGGCTGCTATAATCTCTGCGTTGTGGTGAACAGTTACAGCAAACGTGTGTACCTGCAAATGACAAACAAGCTGTAACTAGGGAAAATTAGAAAATAAAATAACTTGAAACAGTAATTGAATATCATTTTTTACATTGAATGTTGGTTTACTGGAAACATTATTATGAGTAAAAATAACTGCAGAAACAATGACTCCAAAAATATTTTGGCTAAGCTACATGATATAAATTGTCACATTATTATTTTTAATGGTAGTACATATTTTACTGCAAATAGGATAATATTGTATTACAGTACATTACGGTACCTATTGTGTTACTTAAGACTACTACAGGGACAAATCCTTAAAACCTAAAGACTTTTATCGTTCTGAAACACATTTCCCATAAATCGAAAAACTACAAAAACTAAGCTGTTAAAGAAGATAAGGTTAGACAACTTTCTCCCATTACACATAGTAAACTTACAGTATGTATTGTTTTAGTTAAAGTTTAAGTTCTGGGAGGAAATATCCGTTTTGGGCCCCTCTGAACCCCAAAAAAGTGGTTCAAAGTGATGTTAGTCTGCGTGTCTATGTGTTTGGATGAGTACAGAGCCACAGACTATAACTGTGGTCCGATTTTTATGAAAATTGGTACCGGTACGGTTTATGGGTACTAATTTATAGTATTGCCAGGATATGTTTTTCATTTTTTGGAATTTTGGATTTTTATGGCGATTTTCCCATACGAATAACCCACCTTGGATTTTCATAAAAACAGCAAAACTATTTTAATTAAAATTTAATATGTTATGGCCCTAAGTCAAAACAAAATAGTACCACCGCCATTTCTGTACAAATTACAGTTCTAAAGATATTGCAATTTTTGTGATTCCCCATAAAATCTCATAGTTACTCCCACCGCTTACCCATGACAGTTTGTTGAATAATGGGAGAAAGTGTACCATGTATTTCTGATACCGTTTATTCAGTTTAAAATGCATAAAACCTGGCGTGGTCAGTAAGTGTACCCCCAACCACACCTTAAGAAGCTTAGTGAAAATAAGTATTTATGTACGTGAACGTATTTAACACTGACCTCGGCTGGACTCAGGGCAGCGTAGTCTGCTAGCCATTCTCTCACCAACTGCTCCGTCATAGCATAGCCCCGTGACTCCTGTCACCTATATAAAATAAATATTGTTTACAACAACTGTAGGCTACTTAGTTTAAGGTAAGGTCTTTTGATGGTACGTTGGCTTTTTCTGTTATTAATATCTCACTTGCATATCCTAGGACTTGGCTCACGCCCATAAGAGTTTAACACATTACTCCATGAAAGTCCTGGCATTACTACATGTATAATTGGTGATTGGCGGGATTTGAACCCTTGACCTAAGGGACCAAAGTTACACCCTACAACTAGACAAGCTACATGGGTTTACTAACTTATCATGTGTAAAGGTTGTATGATGAGAAACCTAAAGGGTTTGTATCCTCTACAAATGAATTCTTATACCTTGTGGCATATATCGATTCGGGATCGAACTCGTAACAGTAGCGACAACAAAAAAGCTGTTAGCGTAAGGGTCTTGGAGTAAGATTTGATTTCATAGCAAGTGCAAGGCGTTTGGGGTAATTTTACATTGAAACCTGGCTTTAACTATTAGCCTATTCGTAATACTTAAACAACACCTGCACAAGCTATTCAAACAAAAATACAAATTTTTGAAATTTAAAAACGTAGTGTTATATCTATCTATATATTAATAGGTACTTATTTAATACGCAAGCAGGAGTTTTGTGACAATTACTCCTCCGAAACTACTGAACCGATTGACATGTTTTTGCTGTCATTGGAAAGAGCGTAACGTGAAGTTGTGCAGGAAACTTTATTTTTAGGAAAATAATGAGAGAGTAAGGCCCTGGGACCCTTTGAAGTTTCGTATTCCTCCATAAGATTAACATGGAAAACAAAAATTGTTATGAAACTCCAGCTGTTGTCAGAAATTAAAAGTGAGAAGAAGAACATATATAAACAGTCAATAAGTTTGCTAATTTAACCGTTTACTACAAACATTTACTGACATGGTTGAAATTAAATGTTTACTATTTGAATTTGGGTTAGCGTAAATATTACAATGAAAAAAAGCGAGAGAGCCTGGATAAATTGATATCTTAAAAAGAAAACTGAATTAACACTGTGCTGCATTTCTTAGTAATCATTGAAAGAGCCGGATTGCAAACTATGGAAACATGAACATAGGAAAGTCATAGAACACCACCAAGGAGAAGAAATAGAAATGTGTTTTTTTTTAGAATTTATAATCGTTATTATGGACAACCTAATGCGGCTATAAGTAAGGCTATTTGTAGAAAACACTAAAAAACAATATCAGCTTTTGAAAAATGATAAGATATTTTCAAGAAATTTTGATTATATCGATCTGTTATGTACCTACATCATGAGCATTTCCAAAATCTTTGAGTTAATATTTTAAAGTCATCAGAAATTATGACTGTTATTCGTTTTAATAACGCCTGTAATACTTAGCAATTGCTCGAATTCGAGCAACAGGGACACTAGTTTATTAATTATTTTAAGTTAATTATATTTAGAACTGTAGAACTTCAGTGCAAGAGGGGAGGATTTGATTTCCGTCACATCTACAAAAAATATAAGTTTGGACCGCTATTTGTAAAAGCGTTTACCTATTCTCGTCAACCAACACCTATTTTTGACATAGTTCTTTGGTGTTACCTATTGTAATTTATAACTGAATGGTATAGTAAATCTTTTGAGAACCATCTCGTAAAAATGCGACAGCAATAGAGATCTAGAATAAAAAAACAACCTATTTCATTTCACTTCAGTAATAAATTGTGACAAAACTTTTAAATTATTAACAAGAAAAAACTATAAATAAAAATAATAGTGTTAATTAGCTACATCCTAATCTTGAAAAATTTGACTAAATTAAAAATAAATTAATAATTAACTAACTCTTAATTTACAGATCAAAAGTAAGGTTACACTTAGGCCAACTGGGAAGAAAAATCAATTTATGTTTATGTAATATCAAATTTATATTTAACTCTGTTTAAAATTAACTGAATAATTATAAAAGAATCGGAACTGTTCACATGTGTTATGTTGATAACCTCTTTGAAGCTTCATATGCAATGGTAAATGTTATCAAGGTTGAAACATATCTCTGACACTGTGACTCGATGAGTCACCATATTATTGTGATAGAGTGAGTCGTTGAACAGTAGATTTAAATCATTAAATTCAAACCTTTTGATATCTATTTGATTTTTAGCGAATTTCCCATATAGGGAATAAGCTATTACCGTAGTACTCATGGTAAGACCTGGACGCGGAACCGATTTTTTTTTTCGTTTTGAGGTCCCTAGAGGCCAAAAACACCATCCGTTCAAATTCATATATATATATAGATATATTTATATATTTATATATTTATATATTTATATATTTATATATTTATATATATATATATGTGTCCGTCAGCACGATAACTCAAGCAAAAATTATCCGATTTTGATGAAATTTGGTACAAACGTGTAAACCTACGTTTATTCGAACGAGTTCGCGATCCAGCATGATCGGACCATGGGAACGGGTGTTTACGGGGGGTTTTATGGGGTAAAAATAGGTTTTTCCCATTTTTGACCCAAAAAACTTAAAATTTTGCAATTTATTTCCAAACCATTTTGTAGAGCTTAAAAAAACAAATAATTTAGTATATTGAAGCGTTATTATGCGCCTAATGGTTACGGAGAAAATTAAAAAAAAATTGTAAATTTAAAATTCTCATGTTATTCTTATGGAGAATAAGTAAATTGTTGTAGTTTGCTTGTTTATGAACATATTTTGATCAAATTTGGAAAATGCATTCATTTCATACTAGACTATTACATTTTACAAAAAAAAATACCCTTTTACCCTCCCTGTTGCAGCAAACCTAAGTAATCGTTAAAATAATGTTATTTGAATAGGGAATAAATTTGATATTTTTAAGGATAAATTTTAGTGTAAATCCAGTCAGGCAAATGGTAATTCGCTTAGTCTGCAGGTTTGCTGCGGCGGGGGTATTATAATATTTAAACCTTTTAGGTTACAGTTGATGGATTATGGCAGATAAACTATTGTCATTCTACAGACTTAGAAAACAAAGTTCTTGATCATTTACAGTACAGCTGCTCTTAAGTAAAATCAACAACTGTTTGACTGTAATAGCTATTTACCTTACGAGAGTAGTAAGAGCGTTTTTACATCACACATGTTGAATGTTGTGCAACGAGCGGAATCGTGTTGCATAATTCACCCAAGTGATGTAAACACGCTCTTGCGTAACAAGTAACGTACAAGATTTTACCTGACCCGACAATATACAGGGGGTTACGTGCAATATTTTTCATTATCCATTTCACTCATCTTCTAACAGTAACATTCTTTTACAAACAAAAGCTAGATTAGGAAAATTCTTTAAAGCATAACAATAAAAAACAAGCGCGCAGCTGATTTCTAGCGTTGAACGTCGTTGGCTCCATAGAGGTATATTTTCTTAAGTTGAGCACTCAATGTTATTTAAATGGGTTTCATTACTTCACCGAGTGAATTTTTGAAACTACTTCACTCGTGAAGTAAAGAAGTAGTACATCAAGCTTGGGATAGGGAAGTTTAACATGGCGGGTTAGGTAAACATCATTAACATTGTAGATCGTGATGTGTTCCCTAAACTAAATGAAACTCCCAACTTAAATAATGCTAAAGCCGACTTTTCCCCAGACTTGACATACTTTAAATGTGAACCTGTCAGCGACAAAGAAATAAACAAAATAATAAGTTCTTTAAATAGTAAGCATTCATCCAGCTATGATGAAATCCCAATGCCCTTAGTTCAACATGTTAAGAAATATTTAATACACTTTATATATATATATATATATATATATATATTATGATGATTTATACTGGACTATATTCATAGACAAAATTTTGCAGACTTACCTCTATTAGGTGAATGCCACTCCTACAATACCAGAAATAGGGGTAGGTACTATTGCAGCACCTGCCCATAGACTAGGTCTATATGAAAAGAAAACTACCTATGCTGGAGGTAAATTCTAAAACCGTGAGTTGATATTTATAAACTGCCTGATCACATTAAGAGAGAAAATAATTTGTTCAAATTAAAAAAAAAAAAAACATTTTAAGTCACTACCTCTATACTCTTTAGAAGAATATATGTTAAATTAGTGTTTTATTTCTATTAGACTTGTTTTCTTTATGTTAAGTTTTAGATATAGTTTTTGACGCCATTCCATGTACTGATTTATGTACAATATGAAATAAAGACAATTTGATTTGATTTAAACAGTTGGCTAGAAAGGGTTTAAAGCCAATCTTCTCCAGAAAGTTGAAAACAATTTTGATGAAACCCCTGAATAGATTGTAGTGAATACAACATAAGTAAATGTTGAAAAAATCTGGCCAACTACCTTACACCAATTTTGACATGAGTAACTTAATTCAGTAAAGTAGTTCTCTTAATAGCTTCCGAGATTATATCGAGGATAGCAATAAAACTCCTAAAGACATCACACTATAGGATCTTATTAAATTGTATGAAACTCATACCGTGCAGTATCAAACCAAACCTCACACCTGTGCAGTATAACAGAATGGGGATTCAGCAAATCATAACGCATTTCCTATAATGTATATTAAAAATAAAGCCTTTCTATTTACAAAATAAATTAGTAAAGCAATGGTTTTTATTTGATTGACATCATTATAGAGTGTTTAGTCATATTTATATTTGGTTATTTTTATTGTAACCTAAAATACACTATGGAGCAAAGAATATATTTTGTTGGTCAAAATTAATATTCTGGTGAGTATGTCTGTACTATTTCTGCAGTAGGCCTATTTTAGTTTTCAATATACTAAGTAGGCTATGTATGTTTTTACTCAAGTTAGCAGACACTATAAAAAATTACCTCAAAAAGCTTGTCAAAAAGTAGAAAAGTGCTAAGTTTAATTTGACAATTTTACATCATAATATAAACAATTCTGCTATGTGTAGTAGCGGGGGGGTGGTCGAGGGGGTCGCTCTATGCCTCAGTACTGGGCCAAATTCAACGTTCCGCCACTGCAAAAATTGCCATGACAACACTGCCTAAGTTAAGAGTTAGGCTATGCTGAAGTGTTTGACTCTCAGGAAGTATTTTTGCAATTCTTGATAGGGTAAGTCAATAGACCTGGGGTGGACTTCCGTATCGGTAGGCACAAACAAAAGAATGAAAATATCGATCGATATATCAATCATTCGATAAACTGTTTGGTTAGTTATGTAAGGTTACGGTAACCTAAACCAAATGATAGGCCTATATATTGAATGAAACAATCGAATAATCAATATTTTCATTCGGTTGTTTGAGCCAATACAAATACGGTAGTCTACCCTAGACCTGATGGGTACCGTTTCTTAACTGGGCTATGCTAATATTGATTGAAACTATCAAATTGAAAATATTGATTAATAGATTACCTTTTTAAATACATCTATTATAAAATAAAATTATCATAACCAGGTTAGGTTATGTTAAACCAACCAAACTTGCTAATGGTGAAAAAATCGCATGAAGGTTTACTAATGGAATCGATAGTTTCAATCGATATTAACTTACTTACTTACTTGATACTTGTCTTCTTTATCATTGACCGTGGTTACGGATTGATAGCGTCAAATTTTTAATACTATATAATAAAAACATATATTTACAACATAAATACTAAGGCTAAAACTTAGGCGGAAATTTCAACCCGGCATGAGAGGTTCCTCTACCAACTCTTGCACACTATAGAGGGGCCTTTGGGGTAGACTTCTGTATCTGTTGGCACAAACAACCAAATGAAAATATTGATCTATATATCGATTATTTGATGTATCGTATGGTTAGTTAGGTAAGGTTAACCTAACTAACCAAAGGATATATTGAATGAAACAATCAAATAATCGATTTTCATTCGATTGTTTGTGCCAATAGATACGGAAGTCTACCCGGCCTTTGCAAGAGAGAATTGCTCACTGTCGCTTTAAAAGCTTTCAGGTCTAAGTTCCTGACTCTTTCGGGCAGGGTGTTAAAGATCTTTATAGCGGGTAGCCCAGTTAAAAAACTGTACCCGACCTGATTCAGACCTACAAAAGTAAAATATATCTACTTTTCATACCTAAGCATAGTAAAAGCCAAATTCAATATTAGACCTACTCCTTGCATCTCTATCCTATCAATTTAATAAGCATGTCCTATAAACATCAAATAGGCCTATGATTTAGGTAACACAGATAGGCCTACCCTTTTATAGTTAAGTGTCTGATAGGTTTTGAAAATACTACTCAAGTAATGAATAGCATTAAGTAAAAGATCAAGTCATGTCAAATCAAGTATATGAACTGAATGGCCAAATAAATCATTTGAATCATTTGAAGTCAACTCATTAGATCTAAACCACTTGTATGCCATCACTTGTATTTAGGACCTAGGAAAGCCATAACGTACTTACAAACGAATTCTGCCCTAACACTGTCACTTTGAGATTAATCACAAGTAATTAAAATACTCAATTGAAATAAGTTACAGAAAATAAAATCAATTACATAAAATTGGGTAGCAAGAGCAAGACCTACCTCAACTAGTGAATTTGGTTCGATTTTGACGATTATGTTTTATGTTTGACTAAAATTTCGACGTCTGCTTTAATCAGGTGCGGCAACTACAGTCGTTAGATTGTGAAATAGTCTTGAGATTAATGTCTCAGAAACGTTGATTTTAGAATATTATTATACAATGCAATATTATTTTGTAACACAAAATATTGTTTTGCTTTTTTAATAATACTAAAAACACACCTTTAGCGATGAGTCTCAAGGCTTATTAGTGGCATAGCTTATATTTGGGGATTTGTGGCACTCTTTGTATAATGCAAAATGTGGCAAATTAAAAGTTAATCCCACGCAAGGGGCGAATCTATGCTCTACATTGGATTAGATATTTATCCTACTTCTTGAATACTTGATTACTGCATCCGTGACCGACAAAGTCGGAATGGAATGAATGCGTTAAAAATCATCATCAACCTTTTAATAAAAAAGAGTACAAACTTTCCTGCTCACATTACAAAGCTCTATGAAGAGAAACTCTCATTAATGCCTGGCAGGTCCGATCATCTCCATGGTGGAAGGGCTTCCACCATGGATTCCCCGCCCTTCCCACCCACTTGGAAGTCTCTTAAGATTTGAGCCTTGAAAATGTAAGAAGGGATTTAAATGCTGATGGCTGTTACTCAGTCAGCTGAGTAGTGATGCTGGATGCTGTAGACCTTTCTACAGCATCGATGAATATCTCAAAAGAGTTCAAAGCTTTATTTATGTATTTCCTCTCAACGGTTACTCCGTTTTACAGCAAATTATGGTAGCTGATATAATAGTTTCTAACAGTTCACATAAGTACTAAAACAACAGTAACTATAACAATAAATATACAGATATAACAAATAATATAACAATAACAAAAGCATAAAGATATTTTATCGCAAAAACCATAATAAATAGTAACAATTTCGACAAGATACAATTGTAAATGTAAGTGCTTGACGCTTCAATCTCGGATAATTTAAGACAAACGACAAACAATGAAGAGCTGAGAAGGTAAATTAATAGGATGCCTGAGATTATATGAAGCCTGACTCATTTAGAAAACAAGAAACAGCGAAAGATATAATAACAGGGATGGATTTATTATACCGTTCAGTAATAATTACAATAGGGTTAACGTAAAAGAACTATGCTGAAATAATAAATAAAATAAAATTATATCAATAAGAAAAAAATGTTAACCATTGCAAACCATGCTGAAATGGGTTAATCTCACACAGCAAAAAAAGCGGTAAAAACCATCCAATTTGTCTTGGCAAGAACTTGAATGACTAAAATAATGTTTTCACTGCAAGGACTCAAATCAAATCAACTACATTTTTTAATTAACTTCTTTTGTATTGACGCCTTTTCAATCTTTAAGATTGCAAAACAAAGTACTCTGCTACACAAAATTAATTTCTTGTTAAAGATCAACATTCAAATTTTCATTAAAACTTGTACATTTCAATTGAGGAAAAGTCATAGTTGAGTGAAAATTTAAAAACGTACGTTTTCATGTCCCTGGCCTTTTACTTCGTAGATACTGGATTTGTAGTTTATTATTATGTGTTTTAATTTTTTTTGGGACGGGGGCAACATATTACACACATTTATTTGGTTTTAAATAGGTTCTAGGTATTTTTTTCGTATTTTTAAAGTCTCGAAATTCACGACCATGACGTGTCCCTAGGGTACATTTTCCAACTTTCACACTGTTTTTAGACTAATTATTCATGCCGAAATATATAAAACCATATTTTTATGTCATCAATGGTTATTAAACGTACAAAAAAGGAGCATATTATAATTTTATTGTCATTACAAACTGACTACCATGACAAAATAAGTCTGTCCCTCGATTTGGCGTCACGACCATTTGGGAAAAAATTTCAACTTTGGAGCACGACAGTGGCAAGCCTGGCGTCGATGGAGTCAGTTGGTTTTAGAGACTAGTTCGGGGTGTATGTCAGGATTGTAGTGCCGGTCGTTTCGAGTTGAAAGGAGGAATTACAAGATTAATAAAGGAAAGATTGTGTTTTTTGTAATTTTGGTGTGTCCATGACCGTACGTAGTCATTCGATGAAGTAGACATGGTGTTAATTTTTGTTTATAAGATATTTCAATTGCTAGATTAACGTAGAAGTCCACTTTGTATCCTCGAACATGAGGTGCAGGGCTACCGCCAGAACAGAGCCAAATAACACGTAATTTCACGACCAAAGTTTCACGACCATCACGGGTTTTTTCACGACCAATCCAACATTATAGATTATAGTGTGTTTGGTCGTGACAATAACTTTAATATAATTGTAAATTGAACAGTTTAGTTCAATTGAAACACATATTTTTATTATAATAATTGTGATAATTGAAGGATTGTTTAAAAAAGTTTAGATTATTCCAGACAATTCACGACCGTACCGCTTGTCCCTGACCATCACGTTTATGATTTCTATCATAAAAATTTCAAAAATTAAAATATCGTCATATTTCAATGTTTTATACACAAAAAAAACACACCTCTATACAAACATAACGATTTTTCGGGTCTCAGGTAAGTTTCTTCGGAGTTATACAAACTTAAAAAGATTTTATTGGCTTTTTTCAATTTTTTGAGTTGTTTTTATTTTTTTCTAGAAAGACCAAATATACTAAAAGCTCAGTGACCTTTTTATTGTATAATGGTCATAAAAGTAAATTAGTTTATAGCAAAACATAGTTATAAAAATAATATTAACTATTTTTAATATTCATTTAAACGTCCGTTATGGTCGTGACAGGATTTTGTGTTTTTCAACTAAAGATGCTCTTTCAAAAAGAAACTACCAAAGAAATTGCGTTACCATGGACATTTTATGAAACTTCAAATGTTAATGAAATAAAAAAAATAATAAAAGTTTTGAAAAAAGGGGAAAATAATTTGCAAAGTGCTTTTCCTGAAAACGTACGTTTTTAAATTTTCACTCAGTTATAATATTTTGATGGTTAGCAAAAAGTCGATGTAACAAACCCGTTAATATCCTAACACCGATATGTTATATCATTTATCAACGATAGAAAACATGTTTCTATAGAATAAGCGATCAATGCTCTTTACTAATAAGGATGACAGACAGTATATAGGTATTTTTAATCTATGCCGATGCCGTTTTACGTTTGCCATTACCGTATTTTACTACTCTGCGCTTACAATTTCTTGCTATGCATGCCTGTGTCCCATGTCTGTCTGCTCTGCTCTGCTTACTTTCACTTATGTCAGCGTCAGCTTGTATCTGTCAAGTCAAATATTGATATGGATGTAATTAATGAACAGCAAGAGCAAACCAATTCAGAATATAAACCAATCACTGTAGAAAATCTTGATGTTGATTTTCTCCCTATTATATATGACATTATTAGAAGGTAATATTACAATTGTTTCAAATGATTTGTTTATAGGTTATCATAGATTTATGTTTTTTTTCACGTCACAGTGTCGTCCTTTGCCAAATTTTTATCTTGCGAAGGTTACAAGCTAACTCTGATTTTTCTGTGGGAAGAATCGCCGTACTCTTTTCCCCAGCTATATTATCAACAGGTATTATAAATTGCATTGGTATTTATAAATTGCAATGCTAACATCAAAGATTTTCTTATTGTAGTTCACCTATGTATCACATAAACATAATTAAAATAATGTCATTGTTTTGATACTTGAATCCTGCATCTTAGCTCTAGTTTGATAGATTGCGTCCTAATTTATAATATAATAAAACTACAGTATATACAATATTTACAAAACCATAAAATTAGGCCACTATAAAAATCTTGGCCGTCTATTGGATAGCAAGGCGGACATACACTATTTTGCGAGGGGTCATCCTCAAGTTCTTTAAGGGAGAAGAGCGGTCTATTAACAAGTATCCCTTTTAGTGCCCTCTTGAAGGAGGGCACATCCATCTCCTGCATCTGGGTGGGCAGAGTATTATATACCTATTCTAATCGCTGAACGGGGATAGCAACTCAAGGTACGACTGAGACGGTAGAGAGGAACGTTGATGTTTTGGGCCTTCCTAGTATGGTAATCGTGCACCTCCTCTCTCTTACTGTAATCCCTCAAGTTATTCTTCAGTAGGATCAGGATATTCAGAACATACTGACTATATACTGTGAGCACCCCTAGTCCCTTGAAGATTGGCCGGCAATGGTCCAAATACCCAGCAGATGTGACAATCCTCGAGGCCATTTTTTGTAAAAGTAGTATATCCTCAGCGGCTGAGGAGTGCCCCCACAGTACTAGTCCATAAGTCACATGACTGTTTTTAGTCCTTAGTTTCCAGTTCCACATAGTAGGCCGAGGCTATATCAAGGGGTGATTTATAGACATATTAAAATTTCCTTCATAAAAACAAACTAATAGGGGGTACAGTTTCTTAACTGGGCTATGCTAATATCGATTGAAACTATCAAATTGGAAATATTGATTAGTATATCTTGTGATTACATCATAAGTCTATTAAAAAATGAAGGGTACAGTTTCTTAACTGGGCTACCCTTAGGCCCAATTCACACAGAACGGACGTCGGGCGGAGACGTGGCACGGACGTGGCGAGGACATATGTCCGTTCCTCGCCTCCCCATGTAAACAAATTGGTCAATGCACACACAAGTGACGTGGCGCGGGCGGCCGCCCTCCCGCCACCGCCACGTCGCTTCGGCGTCCCTCGTGGCGTATCGGAAGTGGCATGTCCGTAGCGCGCCCGTTGTTCGGACTGCAAATATTGTACTATACTTACCAACCTTCTTGTGTATAGTGTGCTTGAACTTACCGATACTTACCAACCTTCTTGTGTATAGTGTGCTTGAACTTACCGACCTTGTTGTGTAGAGTTGTTTTTGTGTGTAGATTGTGACTTGTTTCTTCACTATGTGAGACGACATTGAATTTAATATCAAATTTTGTGAGGAAGTAGAACAATTCCCTTGTTTGTACTAATTAAGTTGACAGAAATTAACTAACGCCTTTGACATTAATAGAAATAAGCAAAAACCAAAAAGTCTAGTCTACATACAGGTTGTCTCGCCACTGTACCGTCCCTTCACCGCCCCTTCGGTGTGCATTGAACACGCCACGTCACTGCCACGTCTGTGCCTCGTCCGTGCCACGTCTCCGCCCGACGTCCGTTTGGTGTGAATTGGGCCTAATATTGATTGAAAATATCAATTAAATTGATATTTCCTACTATATCAATTATAAAATGAAACTGTTATAACCTAACTAACCAAACTTGCTGATGATGAAAAAAATCTAATGAAGGCTTAAGTTACTAATTGAATCAATGTAAATCGATATTAGAGTAGCCCCGAGAATCTGTTGTCTAGGGAATGCCATTACCGTACGGTCCTCACAGTTCTTATTAGGTACCTACGGTAATAGGTTCCAGATCTTTCTAGAACCGGGACCGATTTACTTTTTTGTTTTGATGTCCCCAGAGGCCAAAGACACCATCCTTTCAAATTCATATAGGTGTGTCCATTAGCAAGTTAACTCAAGCAAAAATAATCAGATTTTGATAAAATTTGGTATTAACGTGTAGGCCTAAAATTTTATTAGCTTTTAACAAATTAATTAATGTTCCAATTTTGATTTTCAGTGTGGAACGAGACCCCCATGATAATGCTCAGAAAAATTCCCAGTCCCAGGACATAAGCCAAAAGGTTATCGAGCTTCATAAAAAGTTGGAAGTTGCCAAAGAACAAGTGAGTATAAATTATGGAGTATAGAGTAAACTCGAGGAATCAAAAATTATTTTTAGGTAAGGAGTAGAAAGAGTTTTGAGAAGGTTGTGGGAATTTTGTATAATGGCTGTGTAATGATTCATCAGTTTCGTTTGAGACAGTGATAAAATTTAGGGAAATTTTGCTAGTGAATAAAGTCATGACTCATTGAGAGAATGTCAAACTAAAGAGGATAACTCTAAGACTACCATAGACAACAATATAGACTGGTATTCTTAAGAAAGCCGATCCTCAAGCAAAATTTCCTTAACTTTTTCACTGTCTCAATAGAAACTGATGGATGTCAGCGGCCAGCCTCGTCATGGAATTGTGCATGGCCTGTGATTTCAGTTTGGGGTTTCATTCAACAAAGTATTCACATTTTAATAGTGTTAAATCTTTAGGCAACAGATCTTTACAAGTTAAAGGTATCAACTCATGTATTGTGTCAAAACTGAATCAGGGAACTTATTCCTAGGTTTATGATCCATGCCGTTTTTGTTGTAATATCTGTGGTTTACAAATTTGTTGAACTTTCATTGAACTGATGCTTTATAACCTGCAAAATTGCCATTTTAAATAGGCAGGTCATTAACAAATTAAATATTTTTAAAAAATTATGTGAAAAAATTATACTAATTATAACCATTGGGATTTTACAGATCCGCAGACTTCCCGGAGTTGAATATAGCAAAGAAGAACAACTCGAGAAACTTGAAACTTTACGAAAACAGTTGCGATTGAAGAGGGAACTTCTTCAGAAGTATAGGAATATGTACTTACTTGACTTCCTAAAGCCCTAGATATTCTTTGGATATGATATTTCGTTTTCTTCTTCGTTATCTGGCAAATAACGAACAATTAGTGAACAAACTAGCCGACTCGTATCCTATCAGAAGAGCAGCCAGATTCTTCATCAAGTTCATAACTCAAACTAAAAGTGTAGTTGATAGTGAAGTGGCCTCTGGTAGACTTAAAGACATTAATTTGTCACACATGAAAAACCTTGCGGCTAAACTAGAAAACCAACTAAAGCAAATAAAAGAAGATTTAGAAAAACAAGTTAAGAAGTAGGCTAGTATTTTATGAAGTAACGAATGACTTTGGTACCGTAGTGTTTAATATTGTTTGTTGAACCTTTATTTTTTTGTGAAATCTCGCAACGATGAAGAGCCATTCGGTGATTTTTATCGACAACCAGTGGTCAGAAGATTACCCTGGGAAAAACAAATACTCCAACAATAGTTTCATAGGATGCCTAGTAAACTATTTTACTGTGCCGCCGTGGGTTTTGCCGAAACGAATCGCGTTGGCATTCATGCCACCTATTCTAGGAGACAAGTCTAGACGAGTGTATGTGGACTTTGTCGGACCGTGTCTTGCGATTTTGACTCTAGCTGCTATCTTGCACTATGGACATTCATACAAAGTGCAATCTGCAGCTTTAAATACAAGTCCTACTGAAATTTTACTTTATTATTGCGCTATTTTTCCTCTGATTACGTTTGTTTTGGCTAAATTAGGCCGTGCCACCCTTGGGTTCTTGGACATAGCGTCTCTTCTCGGCTACGGTCTTTACGGTCACATTTTTACGTTGGCCGTTTCACAACTGTTTGACCACGAAAGGAGCAACGGAGTGTTTTTCACCAATCTGTTCGTGTTCGGAGGACTGAGTGGTCTTCGCATTGCTCTCGTACTGTTAGCCTCCATCCCTCGCCCAGCGTCTAGATTACTAGTCTGCAGCACTGCCACCATCGTTCATCTAGTGTTTGTGATTTTTGTCCACTTTGCTTACATGCATTCTACATTTGTTTATGGTTCTGGTACTGGTAAACACCATATATGAAATATAGTCTTTTTGAAATTTTGTAGCCTTAATTAATCTGATTAAATCAGTGTGAATTTTGCGACTTTCACCATATAAATTTATCTTTTGTCTACAAGAAAAAAATCAACTTGAGAGACTTATAACTCAAAAGTGTTTTACGTTTTTGTGGTGAAGGTTTTAATTTTTATAAATTAAATAGGGAATTAGCAAACATTCTTGTCAGTAAAAGTTATGTGTTTTATGTTAATATTTATTTAGCCTTCCAATTTTGCTAGAACACAGTTGAATTGTTGTGTGTGTTTTCCTTGGAATACTTGTACTTTGGTAAACTGAAACAAACCTGAGGTAGTAAGGGAGTTGTTTAAACATACTGAAAGTAGTTTGAACCTCGTTGATCAAATACAATATTGTGATTATATTTGTGAAACTGTTATTTAATATAACCAATGAAAATTAATTATTATTTGTATTACCTTTTTAAATCTACTGTTTAAGTTTTCACTAACCTACCTTTTTTTGTGAAAGTGTTTGATTTACTACCGTTATCATGGCTGTGTAGATTTAATCACATTGTTTTAATCTGTCATTTTTTGTTTCTGAGTTGGATAATGAATCGAATAACAAATAAAGTGAATCCATTTCACTGGTGTCTTAGCCTAATCATTACCAATCCTCCAATATCTTTATAATATAAATAAAAGTTGTATTATTTATAAGACAAGTAGTATTAGTTTATAGACAAGTTAGTGTCGATAACATAAACAATTGCCAAGTCTTTTTGATTCACTCTATGTTATGATTTGCCTATTTATTTGTAGCGTTGAAATTGAATTTCAAAATTTCTGCTCCAACCTAAAGATGAGTGAGCGTAGCGAACTTCAACCAGGACGTGATTGAGCCATGCGAACGAGCTCACTTATGAAGTAAAACGGGGCAAAGCCCGCGGGTACAGCTAGTATATTATAAAATAAATATTGGGATCTAAGATGATAGCAATAATTTTAATTTTTTTTTTGTTTATGAAGGATTGACAAAGAAATCGTACAAGAAATACAAATAAATCATACATTTTTACTACAATTACAAATCTCTCTACACTGAATACTGCTGCATTAGTGTTATTTTCTTACAGAGATATAATAGACTATAGTTCTTAGAGTAATGACCAGAATTGTTCTATGAAGACACATTCAATTGAAACATTCATGAAAGGGTTTAAAGGAAATTCACCAAAACGAAACGACAACTTTTCTCCCAGAAATTAGAATAATAATCATCATTACATTTGAGTAAATTAAAGAACCTGCTTATGTATTTCTTACATTTTTAACTTCTCTCCCTTATTAACTATTTGAGTGTGATGGTTTATCTAAACTTTAAAACGTATATTTCGATATTAAAATGTATTTTTCACTCAAAATAAACAGAAAAAATAACTTCAATTATGAAAAGGTTAGAAAAAATGTGTACGTTAGTGGAAATAGAATAAAGTACCCTATTAAAGTAAAAGTATTTTTAAACAAATTTAAACGCAAATGAATTCAGGCGAGGTTAGCACAGTTATTTTAAATTATTATTTCAGCATTATTTCCAATGTTAGTCGTAAACGATTGCTGTTTTTTTTTTCTTTTTGTCCTTCATTATTCAATGTGTAAAAGAGGCATTAAGGTTTAAAAAAAGTAGTAAGGAGGGTAAAAAAAGATAAACCTTTTATAATGGTAAATTGCAGTTTGGGCGATGTTACCTATTTATAATAACTTAAAAACATGACCAATCAAATATTTTGGATGCTAAACTAAGGAATCATACTTACTTAACAAAATTAACAATACAATAAACACAATTAGGTACAGTATATCCGTACTAACGCCACCTACGGGATCAGTAGCATGGTTGGAACAGTGAAAAGGTCAAACTATCCCAGATACCTAACTGACATTGATTGTAAGAGGGTGGACTCGTGGTCCAAGCACGTCAACCGAAGCTTATTGTGCATCAACATCAACTGACATTACTGATCGCGTAGGACGTGGATGACCGTCAGAGACGTTTAATATTTTGCCACAATCGCGGCGGATGACAATATATTTTCCTGTGAGCCGAGAAAACAATAATGGTGTTTACGTGATTGCAGGCCGGGGGGGATAAACAACATTTTTTCTTTGATTGCGGGATACGACGATGATCTCCACAAGACCAAGGCAGATAGTCATGTTATAACTGCAATAACATTGTCGCTGATAGGATTAAGTGATGAGTCGGACCCGCCAAACTTGGATTAGCAGGGTTTCATTGTATCTTAGACCCTGCCAAAAATAAAATAAATTACTGACAACTAATAAAATAAACCACTGTAATAACAAACTATAAACAAACATTTTACCATAAACAAACAAAATCAGTAACTATAAAGCTTAATCTGATTAATCTACCATTTAAATAAAAAAAATCTTATTTTGTTGGAAACAAACATATTCATAAATTATCTATCATAAGTAATTTGAAAATAAAATACAAGTTTTAAATGGGAGAAAGTCGCCAATAGTAATTAATATTAGGGCCACACACATTTAATTTTTTATTGGGACACGAGATTCTGCAACCTTTTAGTTCTTAACAAAGTTAGGCATACAAGCTTTATTCGGTTGTAAATATATGTATATATTTCAAGCTATTTATTTATTAGCCTAATTGTATTAAGAAATTACATAAAGGTATACGTTTTGGAAAAATTCTTATAGGACATTGTCTTTTCTTTTTATTCCCACTCTAAAGATCAGATTTGTTTTGGCCCTCCTTCCTTCCTAACTTCAGCCGAGTATTAGGTTTACAATTGATTAGTATTCATAGAAAAATAATGAGACTTTATAAATGTTTTCACTTTCCACTGCCACTGTAGAAAAATACTTCTAGAGTTCTATAACTTTGGTAAGTCTAGTTGTTTTTGTAATAGGCTATTAGAGTTAAGGTTAGGTTATCATTCATTTGTTAAGCACAGATGAACTTTTTTGAAATAAAACCCATGGGACTCATTTACACTCAACAGACTCAACTGCATGTTAATAATTCTATACCACAATGCAATACAGCTTGACTGACAAATCCACATGACTGCAACACATCTTAAATGTGTATGGCCCAAATTAACGTATTAACATCAACTTATGACAAAGAATTTTTTGTTGTTTTATCGTCCGACTCCGCTACACCATCACTGTCTTCATCAACCGATTTCATGAGTTGATTTTTATTATTTTTGTTACTCTGACCTTTGCGCTTTAACTGTTTTTGTTTGCCACGGACAACTTTTATCTTGTCTTCTGGGTCACTCTCACACTTCTTTTCAGTCTTTTCTTCCTTGGTTTCATTTTTTTGTTCCTTCTTTATAGGACTTCCTTCCTCTGCATTTTTTATTCTCTTACTAAGTGGCATGTCACTATCGGAATCACTAGAGGTATCCATTGAAGAGGGTGGTGACATTTCATCAGAGCTTTCTTTCTCAGGTTTTATAATTTCCTAAAACATAATTGCCTTTTTAAGTACACACAAAATGTTTCTAGTTTATGTTATACAGTACTACTAGACATAAAATAATCATGTAAGTAAGACGACTATTTTAAATAATCCATGTACTATGCAGACATTTGTATAAAAAAAACTGAGTTTACACAAAGTCAGTTGGCGAGCAAGTTACTTGCCTCAGATAACTTAAAATACACTAAGGCAAGTAACCTGTCTGCCTAATGGTGTCGTGCAAACACGGCTTAAAAGGACAGATAACCAAGCCAAGCGCATACCGACCGCAGACAATGTTCCCGATTTCACCTTCACCACGGAGGAAGTTTAAAAATTGTCTGTGACCGTTGAACATGTTCTCACTTTTACTGTGACTGTAGAAAATGTTTTTGATTTCTACATGATTGCGGACATGTTCAAAATTTCATTGTGACCCCAGAGGATGTTCTTCATTTAAACTTGACCGCAGTAGATGTTCTCAATTTATATTTTAATGTGACCAAGGAAGACACTCACCACTTTGCCGCCATTAATTATTGACCGCAGACTAAAATCAGGTTTTCCTTCAAAATTCCTGCATGATTGCTGTCACAATAAGTACATGGATAATTCCCGGTTTCCCTGATCTGTAATCTCTTAAAAGTGTCCACCATTGAATTAAGATCGCAATAGTGAAAGGCCTTACTCACCACCGGCTGTCTTAATCTCCTTCTCCTCCTTGGAAGTTTTGGAAGGTATTTTTCCGCCCCGAGCTGGACCCTTCTGATGTCAAAATCCTGGTCCACTCTTGTCACAGTTCTTAACCTGAAACCAATCTTCTTTATATTGTTTCCTTAAATTGAAAACCTATCTGTGTATTCTACTAAACACCCAACATTAAGGGTATATAATTGGACTAGCCGCCATACCCGTGCTTCGCAACGTGAAGAGAACAATAAGAGAATAATATGTTCTATAGATCTGTTGTATGAAAAGTTATCAACTCATAAATACACGCAAGGCCACACTAAAAAAAACAGGCCGTAATGCTTGTCAAGCATGACGTCACAATAGAAGACGGCTATGACCTAAGTATTTATTTATTTATTTTTCAAGGAAAGATTAAAACAAGCAGCTGATCACAAACGGCAAACATTACGTCATTGCCGTCTTCTATCGTGACGTCATGCTTGACGAGCATTACGGCCTGTTTTATTTTTAGTGTGGCCTTGATACATGTCCACAATTTTGACAAAGCATCAATAAATTTTTAAACACACGGTTTATATCAATTTGGCTATTCTAATATTAAGTGTATTCATAAGATTTACATAGAAACTTTGCAAGCCGTCAGGGCAGAAACCTAGGAGAATGTTAAAATAAAAAATAGCTATGTCCATTAAGCCTGTGGTATATTAGCTCTATTCATGGAAAAAAACAGTTAAATTGGTCAATTAGTTTTCACACTATTGACATAATCCAAACGTTCACATTTTTAGAGTTCCTTCTATCTGAGTTCATTGACTTGATCAATAATGCACTTTAAGTATTAACAGGCTACTCTGAGAAACAAATGCATAGGAAGACGCCGTAGGCAAATTCTAGCTTTTTGTTAAGTTTAAATCCTAATAATTATCACGGAGACTTTTCGTCTGTCATTGAAATCCTAGCTTCTATTGAAAAATTAGACTGGCCAACTACGTTTTCTAATGTACTTGGTTTTTAGGTGGGAGGGAGTCCCTAACACAAAGACAATTACCCCAGCCTTGAAGTTAAGTTCTTACTCGGTTTGTGGAACACAGATAAGCCTAATTTATAGAGGAAGAACAAAATGTTTATTCCGTTCTTGATTCTGGGTCACAGCTAAGAAAATAATCTTTAAATATTTACGATCTTTGTAAGGTTAGCATGCTTACCGGAATGGGAAATAGTCCAATCTGGCATGAGAAACATAAAACTTTACACTGTACACACAAAATTAGAATGTTTTACTGTCATAAACAGCATTTTCAACTAATGAAGGTGCGAGTAGAAAAGAGAGTTTAAATTTGCCAAATGAGATAGTTTAAGTGAATTTTTGTATTTCTTGGACCAGATTGGACTTTTTCCCATTCAGGTAAGACACCCTCACAAAAATCCTAGAAATTAGGCTTCACCGAAATCTATGTTTTGTTTCACCATTCTTTATATTTGTAATTTATTTTTATAGCCCCAGGAATGTGTTTTAAATGACAAATAGCAGCTAAAAAAACCTCGGTAGACAATCGGGTAATTATGTCGACCTCCAGTCAACGCTCTAAAAATTAATTTTTTTTTTAATCTGTTCGTTTTTTAATGCTGATTCCAAAAATGATATTCAGAAAATGGGAAAAACGGGAAAAAAATTTTTTTGCCCAAAACCCATGTTGTGGGTACTCAAATTGTGCGGAATTTCCTCCTGAACAAGAATATGTAAGTTTTATCACGATCGGACCACTATTAAGTAAAATATCACCGGAAATGCGACCGCGCTGGCTACTTATGTAGGCTACTGCCGCGTGGGGATAGCATTGCGGGTGACTCTAAGCCATTGTAGAATGCGGGCTTTATTTTGGGTTAGGATTGGTTAGGTTAGGTTAAGCCTAGGTTAGGTTAGGTTAGGTTAAGTTAGGTTAGGTTAAGTTAGTTTAGGTTATGTTAATTTAGGTTAGGTTAAGTTTGATTAAGTTAGGTTAGGTTAAGTTTGGTTTGGTTAGGGTAAGTTAGGTTTGGTTTGGTTAGGTTAAGTTTGTTTAGGTTAGGTAAGGTTAGGTTTGGTTAGGTTAGGTTAGGTAAGGTTAGGTTTAGTTAGGTTAGGTTAGGTTAATTAGTTTAGGTTAGGTTAAGTTTGGTTAACCCTCCGAGTGTCACGTGTTTTGGCCTTAATGTCAGCCTATTTTTTGCTCATTTGCAAGGTTATTAAAACTGATCTGAGAAGCTTAAAAACAATGTTAATTATACTGTTCTATATACCATTTTGTTTGGAAAATCTTGGGCTTCAATATTATATATAAAACATAAGGAAGATTAAAAAAAAAAAATTTTTTTAGGTAAAAAAATGTATAATTTTGAAAATTTTCAAAAAAAAATAAGTTTGCGCTCAATGAAATTGTATAAATTATAGGCCTATAAATATTTGAAAATAGCCACTTTGTTCTAAATTTTATGAGGATTACAAATCTATAATAATATAAGGAAGTAGATTTGCAAATAAAAAAGTTATGGGCAAAAAACAGATTTCAGTACATAGCGTTTAGCTAAGAATGCATAGCCCAACCATAGCTAGGAATCTGGCTGATAATTTACATCAATATCACTACCTACTTCTTCAGGATCATCAACCAGCACTTCAAAACCACTTAAATCTTCTTATAATGCACCACGTATATCACTACTTTTGATTTTTAACACTAAAACAATGATAAACGTAATAAAACACATCAGTCATCGGTCCGAGGGTAACCTAGCTGTTTACAAATACACGCACGTCAGCTGTCTGCTACAATATTTTCGGAACTAAAATGAATAGTGCTTAGAGACAGACCTCTGCAGAAAGCTTAGAATATTACGGACAGAACGATACCTAACTCAATCCAGTACAGTCCGATTCAGTTAGTCATAGAGCCTTCGCCGTAAACAGTGTTCGCGAGTCGCTGCAGCGACGCACGACACTATACAAAGTGCGTTACGCGTCGCTGCAGCGACGCATGACACTCGGAGGGTTAAATTAAGTTTGGTTAGGTTAGTTTAGTTTATCAATAACATGAATTTTGTAAGTAAATGGACCTAAAATTGTGGAATGCGGGCTTTATTTAAGGTTAGGTTAGTTTAGGTTAGGTTGAGTTTGGCTAGGTTAGTTTACTTACAATACTCATGTTATTGATAAACTAACCTAATCTAAACTAACCTAACCAAACCTAACCTAACCAAACCTAACCTAACCTAACCAAACCTACTTAAACTAACTTAACCTAACCTAACCTAAACTATACTAACCTAACCTAACCAAACTTACCTAACCTAACCAAACTTAACCTAACCTAACCTAACCAAACTTAACCTAACCTAGCCCAACCAAACTTAACCTAACCTAACCCAAAATAAAGCCCTAACTTAACCTAACCAAACTTAACCTAACCTAAACTATACTAACCTAACCTAACCAAACTTACCTAACCTAACCTAAACTAACCTAACAAAACTTAACCTAACCTAAACTAACTTAACCTAACCTAACCAAACTTAACCTAACCTAGCCCAACCAAACTTAACCTAACCTAACCCAAAATAAAGCCCGCATTCTACAATGGCTTAGAGTCACCCGCAATGCTAGCGCCATGCGGCAGTACATAAGTAGCCAGCGCGGTTGCTTTTCCGGTGATATTTTACTTAATAGTGTTCCGATCGTAATAAAACTTACATATTCTTGTTCAGGAGGAAATTCTGCACAATTTGAGTACCCACAACATGGGTTTTGGGCAAAAAAAAAATTTCCCCGTTTTTCCCATTTTCCGGGAAAACGGGACGTTTCCGCAAAAAATGAATATCATTTTTGGAATAAGCATTAAAAAACGAACAGATTAAAAAAAAAAAATTAATTTTTAGAGCGTTGACTGGAGGTCGACATAATTACCGACAATCGTCAACATGTGGGTAGTGTCTGGTAAACCTTGCTACATACGTTTTGGCGGTTATTAGAACTCTGCTACTAGGCTAAATTTAAATTTGTATGCCCACCTCTTACTTCCATGATTCAAAAACAATGAGATTATTGTCCAAACCTGGTCTTTGAGTAATTTTTGTGTCGTTGAATCAGTAAAAAAATATAGTAGTTTTGGATGTGTTGTGGCAATCCCTCTGTAGAACATGCTGGTCTAGTGGTAAATCACGATGCTTTGGTCCCAGGTTCAAAACACGCCAGTCACAAATGGATTTTATCCAAGTGATAATTCCAGGACCCTCCAGGCCTAACCTGAAGTTATGCATTAAATGGTTCCAGACTAGGGCCTAGCATACTAACATATGAAGGTAAAATCCATCTTTGGAGCAAGCTACAGTTCAACTCGTAGTCTAACTGTGTAAGCCTATAACTTTACAGAATCATTTAAAAATTAATTTTAATTTTATTAGCCTCTCGCCACTTACCTCTGTTGTTCACTGGTCACATAAAGGTCATCAGGTTTGTGGTACATGTTGTGGTTCTGATAGGCCTTCTGGCTGTAGAACAGAGCGTCGCAGGTTGTGCATTTGATCATTTCGGGCGGCGCTTCGTCCCTTTCCTTCTTCGAGTGTTGCCTTTCCAGGTGTTTCTAGAGTGACAAACATTTATTTATATCAGAGTGTTGTTGTATAATAATGTCAGGGTGTTGTAAGTGTTAAATGATAGCCTGATTAAAGTAGCAACTAAAAAATAATAAAAAAAATTCTGCATGTAAATGATTATTACGTGTACGTGCAACTTCTGTAGGCCGTAGGTAGGGCCTAATACGTATTGACATTGACTTCCGAGAAGAGGTAGAATAAACTGAGGGTGGCTATGAGGGACTAACATTTTTATCACAGCCACATTTACCAACCTGAAGGTTAAACTTGACAATGTATTCAAAGCCGCACAGATGACAGTAGTACACGCTCTGAGGATCCCCGGCGTTGTTCACCTTTATCTTCTTGCTGGGGGGAGGCGTTAACACTGGACTGTACAACGAGATGATCCTGCAACCAGCATTGGCTTCATGAAAAACAATCAAACGGACAATTAGTGTACCGTAATACAATCATTCACATTTGGATACTGAAGTATATACCACTTTTATATGCAAAATGACAGAAACTAGCAACTCTGAGTGCCTTATGGAACTAGCCTATGTTCTTTGGAACTTATGTACCATGGTGATGGTAAAATGTAAAGAAACATGAAGAAAGCAATGTAAAAAATATGTTACCACTTCAACTGTTGGTCTCCTTACCGTTGATGAGTAGAATTTCTATGATAATCAAGAGCGGTTTTATTGCAAAAAATCGCCCCGCAGTCGTTGCATTTCACATTCGGATGAGATTTTAAAATAACATGTTCCGCCAGGTGTTTATCTCTATGTATCTGAAAAATAAACAAACTGTTGTGTTTTTCTTGGTAAATTTCATAATACATGTTTTTATTGGAAAGACTGGAAAATCATTGCTTGCTGAAAGTTATCACAAAAAGTTTCTCGATTGAGTTATTTTACATCTCAGTCAGAACTAGAATCAACACACAATGAGGTTGCAGAGCAACGTCCTGCTACTTTGAAAATGTTAACGGTGTTTGGTTGGATGTGTTGGAACGTATCAAACATATAAAAAATAATCAGGATAAATGTAAACTATATTGTGAAACCCACACTTACATTACAAGAAACAAAAGTAGGCCTAATATAAGTTAGATTCACTGAAACACAATCTTACAATGTTTTAAACTAAGTCCTCAGACTCTGGTGCAAAGGCTTTAACTTTAAGCTGATTCCCATAGAACGTTATTTTGGTTTTGTGTACTTTTTTTGTTGTGCGTTTTTACCAAAGAAAATCAAAGATAATTTCTGATAGGTAATTAAAAATAAGTTTAGACAGAAGTAGGAGGAGGCTGTGGATGTAAGCCTACCTATCCCCTGTACATCTCGTACCGACCGATCCAGAGCGTGCAGCGCTCTAAATTACTAAAAAGTGCAAAACGTCTGTATGTCCTATACAGTACCTAACGATCCAGTGTGCGTAGTCCATGACTAAAGTACGGAGCGTCTGTAGGCTTACTGACCATCAGTGCCGTAATGACCCAGTGTATGCTTAGTTAAAAGGGGATAGCAGCTAGCTTACATCTACAGTGATAATGAAATACAGGTAGGAAATAGAAAAGACAAAAGACACATATAGAAAAAAACACAATATATCATCCTCTGGAGGACTTGTTCAAGAATTAATTCCGAGTTTAAATAAAGAATCTCTTTGTCTACACTTAAATCAACCATTACCTTTAGCGGAAACTGCATCCCACACTCAGGACAGTAGTGCTTCACCAATGTATGCGGATGTTTCTTGAACTTGTGTTGAATAGCCGCTGTGTTACATTTAAACTTTTCACCGCAAACATCACAAGATATTTCACCATCTACAAACTTTGAGGCAGACCCTTTCTCGTAGCCAAAACCTCGCATCTTAGTCACGTCCACAACTCCGTTTGGCCCTACTGGTCGGCCTTTACCATCTATTTCTTTATTTGCATGTTTCCTAAATGGGGGGAAAAATTATTAAACCAGAATAATAACAAGCATAGTAAGAAGAGAAAAGAACCTTTTAGAAACAAAGCTGTAGTCTAACTCATTCTTGATTTTCAGTGTAGGCCTATGGTAGATTGCATATGAATAAATATATAGGTAGCCTACCGTACTAAGTTAAGTTACTTAAGTAATTACTTAGGCCTATTGCCTTCGCAATCCAGATGTGTAGCTCCACCTAACTCTTGCAGTGATAAGGCTCAATCAGTTCGTCGGCAGTTTTTAAGCTATGCACGTGCTTTAATGTTTTCATGTTGTTTTATTTTTGTGTTAGGCCTAGGTATTATCATTGCCTAGATAAAACATAGTCCCTTAGTATATTTCCCATCCTTATGGAACAACTGAAACCAATTTTATTGTTAGTTCTGTCCGGTGTACTGTAGAGTCGTATTTTGTTTTGTATTATTTTAGGGTTAGTTTCTCATGATTTGCGCCTCACTGTTTGGTTATATAGCTAGTGGACAAAATTGTTTATGATTAGATCGTTTTATTTGGTCAAACAAGGATTTAAATTACTAAAATAGCAAGACACAAATTGTAAACAAGACACGACTCTACAGTACACAAGACAGAACTAACAGTAAAATTGGCTTCAGCTGTTCCATAAGGATGGGAAATCTACTAAGAAGTAGGCCTACCCAATGTTTTATCTATGGTATTATGTATTATTTAACTTATTAGGCCCTAAGTAAACCGTTGACACGATGAAAATTAAGAAATCTAGAAAAATATATAAATTCAAACATTTAGTTAAGAGTAGGCTACGACTTTGAACCCAACAATGGATAATCTAAGTAACGGACCTAAGTGCAATAATAGCCTAACATATCTGGATTGTGAAGATAGTTAGTAACTTAACTTAACTTAGACCTAGACATATCTAACTCATTCTATCATTCACTTATCTTTTCCTTAAAATATAACTTAACTTGCATTCTTTTTTGAGATCAAGACAAATTTCTCTCTTTTAGCAATATATGCCCAAGGCTAAAAGCCTATCATGAGCTAACTTAATTAATTCAAGTTCTTTGTTCACTCATAAACATCTTAAAAAGGATAACTTACAATGATGGGAGTGTCATCATAATAAGTAAACAACAATAATAGTTAATGGTTTTTACTTGTGTGAACCTGGCAATAACTAGTGCACGTGCCTTTAAAAATCTATTGCTGGCCGTTTTGCGGAAAACTACGTCCGCGAGCAATATTAACGACGATTTTAACAGATAAAGGACACTTTAATGGACACGACAGTATCAACATCATGTACCTGGGGCCTGGGGGATTTGTTATGGGGGGTAAAACCAGCAATAAGTTGTGCGCGCGCCCGATAAAATCTATTGCTGAATGTATTGCGGAAAATACGTCCACGAGCAATATTAACGATAATGTCAACGGATAGAGGACACTTCAACGGACACGACAGTATCAACATCATGTACCTGGGGGATTTGTAATGGGGGGTAAAACCAGCAATAAGTTGTGCGCGCGCCCAATAAAATCTATTGCCGGCCGTATTGCGGAAAAATACGTCCGCGAGCAATATTACCGATTATGCCAACAGATAGAGGACAATTCAACGGACACGACAGTATCAACATCTTGTACCTGGGGGATTTGTTATGAGGGGTAAAACCAGCAATAAGTAGTGCGCGCACCCGAGAAAATCTATTGCTGGCCGTATTGCGGAAAAATACGTCCGCGAGCAATATTAACGATGATGCCAACAGATATAGGACACTTCAACGGACACGACAGTATCAACATCATGTACTTGGGGGATTTGTTATGGGGGTAAAACCAGCAATAAGTAGTGTGCGCGCCCGATAAAGTCTCTTGTCTAGTCTCAAGAGGTCAGAGGCGACCTTTTTAGAAGGCCTAAACAGAGTAAGCTTGCTGACCCTAAGAAGGGGAACATCGACCCAGCGTTTGCGATGCTTTTCCGTTAAAGTGTCCTCTATCTGTTGGCATCATCGTTAATATTGCTCGCGGACGTATTTTTCCGCAATACGGCCGGCAATAGATTTTATCTGGCGCGCACACTACTTATTGCTGGTTTTACCCCCCTAACTTATCCCCCAGGTACATGATGTTGATACTGTCGTGTCCGTTAAAGTGTCCTCTATCTGTTGGCATCATCGGTAATATTGCTCGCGGACGTATTTTCCCGCAAAACGGCCAGCAATAGATTTTTAAAGGCGCGTGCACTAGTTATTGCCAGGTTCACACCAATATGGTTTTAACTTAAAATAAATAACTATGTCCATAGGCCCTAGGCTATGTTTAGCTCTGACAAGAATTAGGTTAGGCGTTTAAGTTTTTGTCTAAGCCTATTCTAGTAAGTTAATGATAGGATGTAGGCCTATGCCTATTTATTTGTGCCTTATTATTTATGCCTAACTTACTAAGTAACACAGACACAAGGAATAATAAAAGGGAAAAAATTGAAAAGTAAAAACCGAAAAAACACGTACCTGAAATGTTCTCTTAACGCTTCTTTTGACTCCAATTTATTATTGCACAAAACACAGAGATGTTCCCCTTTATTCTCCATGGTTTTATAGGTAGGAGGCCTAGCCTAAAAGGAGAAATAGGCTAAATTGAAAACTCGCTTAGTAACCAAAGAAATTGTACATCATTTATCTAAAATGATATAAACTACTAAGTTTATCTTTAACTTAAAATCTATGTTCCCTATATTAACAGTATTATGTTTTAAGAATATTCCAATACAGAAATTATTCCAAAGAACAAACAACAAACAACTTCATTTCATCCTAATAATAAATAATAAGCTGAAGCTGTTCTTTTTTTTAGTTTAAAAAGAGAAAGAAGAACTAAGCTAAGTTAGTTGATCAAAATTTAAAAGACAGATTAAGAGTGAAAATTATTGTGGATTGTAAAAGAAGTCTTATATGTGTACCACGCACATATAACAATAATTTGTATTATTTTAAATCATGGTGGAAGTAAAATACCACGTCGTCACCCAGATTGCAAACAAAAAATCAGCCAATTGTATTGCCATTGCCATATAAGTATATATTTGTTTTTATTTGATTGTTATTATTTTGTATAATTATTCTACATGATAAAATGGTGTTTGCAATCTGATTGACGTCAGCATATGACGGGAATAGCACACCTATGTATTTTCCTTCCACCATGATTTTATATCATATAAGATATCGAAAATATTGCCTTGCATGTGCATAAATTTGTGCATAGTAATCCAGTCATTTAATATTTCAAAATAGGCAGGCTCTACAGAGTAAGGGTTTCATTTGGCAAAATTGCTTAAAATCTTCAGAAGATTAAAGTAGATACTGAAGATGAAACTCTGTTTCGAGATGTAAATATGTTTAATCCGTGCTTAGCATTTGCTATAATGTTGGTGAACGAAAGCATAGATTAAGCATTTTATGGCTAGTTATGATAAAAGTGTTCCATCGATTTTGTCAATCAAAAGGGTTGTTTACATAATCGCACCTCTGCTATCCCACTCGTTCAGCTGTTACCTTTTGGAGGGCATTTTCTGTAAAGTGTTAAAGTCTGTCAGAACTGTACTTGTGTACCCAAAGGGCCCCAAATTGTCAAGCTATTTTCAAATCAAGCTATAGAGCAAGGAGCAAGTAAACATTGTGATAATTTTGAAGCGCATGAGCTCCTATGGTTCCCGCCCATCTGGCTCTCGAAGGGGCAAGTCTATGTTCTCGGTAGGGGGCTGTTGGGCTCGCTTATGCCAGGTCATCGTGGAATTATTTAAAGACAAATTTTCAACTTTATGTTGTCTTGTGTGACTTTACATGCCTGTGTTTTTGATTGTGTTTCACGTAATTTATTGCTCAAGACGCTTCTAAAGTATGGGTATAGTAGGGTTTGAATGATCGAGAACTTATTTACTTATTTCAACCGACATCTCCATTTTTAAATGCAACGGACATCTCAATTTTACACATATAAAAATCAAACAGTACAATAATACACTCAGGATGGCTAATATTGCAAAAATTTAGAAAGAACAAGAAAGAGAAAAGTTTTGAATGGCTGTGAAATAGTACGTAAATAAAAGTAAACTTAGCTTTTCAGGAATTACAACAATGCCAAGTGGAACAACATTACAGTGTCAAGCATATAATAGTGCACAGTGCAGTGCAAGTGATAGAATAACAGTTGATAGCCCCAAACAATAGTACCGTAGTTATGTTTGATCTATGATAGTACCATAAATATTAGACACAAAGTAGTTTCATAGGTAGGTGTGCGAACTCAAAAGCTGGCAGTTCAGCATGGAGTCGAACACTAGGGTTCGGTTCTTGGACCTTTCTTATTCTCAGCACACTGCACAGCTTGCTTGCTTGATACTGTAAATGAATCCTCTTTATCACGATGTCTATAATTGTGTTTTGCTATACGCGAATGATACCACCTTGTTCGCTCAGCTGGTTCAGCACGCTGATCCTATTAAAGCTAAAAATTGTGTAGATACGCGTTGTCATTATTATTTATTTTTTCTGTTCATTTCTTTTGACTATTTTCCATTTATTAGTCATTACCTATATCTGTCTAAGAATCTTGATTTTAAAATAATATTGAAATGCATTGATGGTGTTCAAATTCTTTTAAAATTGAATACAAAAACAAGTGATTGTGATTTTTCATGTCTGTGATTTTCTTTCTTCTTTCTTTCTTCTCTTCTCAAATATGTTGAACTATTTACAAGAAGGCAACAATAAAGCTACCATCGATTAAACAATCTGTACAGTACATACTTTCGATACATGCAATTGTTTACAATCGAAATTCACAACTGAGTTTATTTTTTTTGAACAGCTGATTTTTACTCCCTAGGGTCTAAAAACGCGTTTTACTGCATAGGAGAGTAAAAATGCTACTTTAGACCTGTTTTAGACTAGCTGTTTTTGCTGAAATATGACGAAAGTAAATATATTGGAAGGCTGTAATTTAATTAAGTTGGGAAATAAAATATTATTATTTCATTTAATTTCATTTCAATTGTGAAACGGCATTTTTTATGTAAGGGAAAGCCATACTACTTTTGAAAACAATTTTTAGGGGAAATTGTCAAGGAGGGGGAAGGAGAGGGTTGGGGGTTTGATTAAATTGCCTACGATACCGTAGTTTTTTTTCTATTTATGTTTCACCTTAATTTTTGTGGCAATAAAGCTCACATATAATTGGTACTGTATTTGAAATAAAGCTAAAGTTTCATTGCAAATGAATATACAAGCATTTACCCTGCTCCTACACTTATACTACAACTGAAAACTGCAAAATATCTCAAAATACAGTCCTACATATAGTTAATTTACCTAGAGACGAAGCTGCGCACAAAAAAACTTTTGGTTGCAAATTTATTGAATAATTTCAAATCAACTGAGGCAATTTTTAAAAGAAGAAAATAACTGTGTTGCGTTCCTTTTTCAGTCGCACTACAAATTGAGAGGAATCAATAATCAAGCAATACAGCTTAATTGGTTCAAATGTTTGTCAACATTTCCCGCCAAGGTTGGTTTGGGGACTCCAGCTGTTCGTGACGTCATTTTTCAATCAGCTGATGGAACTCTGAGCCTGACTGATAAAGCAGCGCGCGGAATATGAAGTCAACATTCTGTGCCGGCTCTTTTGAACATTCATGTTCAATGAGCTGTGACGAACTCCAATCTTTGAATTATACGTTTTGGTGAGTATATTTTAATTAATTAAGTTCTTATTAAAGTGTATAGGCATGAAGTTATCTCAGTTCTGTAGCTCTAAACTACTTTTGAGGTTAGGTTATTACAGTTTTTAAAATCGTAAGCCTAATAATTAATTAATTTGTCTAAAATTTGTATACTTAGGTAAACAAAATATATATGTTAATATATTTGTCTACAAATGATGCAGGTTTTCTTATTCAGTAATTTATTAGTCTCATTAATATGCGTTCATAAGTTGATGTAATAAACTAATTACTTTTAGTAGACTATTATATCATCTGCTCAATCAAGCCAGAAACAAATTAGAAGAACAGAAAAATGGAGTAAAAAAAAACTGAATATTTAAGAAAGAATCTCAGAAATTTAAAATCACGATCACTTGTTTTTGTATTCAATTCTAAAAGAATTTGAACACCTTCAATGCATTTCAATATTATTTTAAAATCAAGATTCTTAGACATATAGGTAATGACTGAATACTAACATAAAGATGAATATTATTTTGTTATATTAATTTATTTGTGTTAATCAAAAGAATTAGTTTTTATTTTTTTGTAACTTAGAAGTTTTTCCATCTTATTAGCGAACTTAAGACTTATTAGGGAATATGTTTTTTCTAGGTACTTACTCTGAATATTAAGAGTTTTATAAATAAATGGTGAATGATATTAACAAAAAAAGTTCATGTAAAGGTAAGATCTGAATGTTTATTTTAAGCATTTTGAGCTATTACAAATTCTATAAAGATAGAAAATCCTGGTATGAATTTTAGATTAGTAAAGATTTTGCTCATAGAGCAAACTAAGCTTTGCCTGTGTCAACTCGGGAGTTAGCTGACTCAATAAAGATAAAATTGTTTGGACATTTAGAACCTATAGCAGCAACTGTAACGACTCAACAAGTACATTTTATGTTTTTTCTGTTAGCTGTGTAAAATATTTTAAAATAAACTGTATCAGTAAACTGACACATACTTTCTACCATTAGCTTCTCAACAATCCTTAGGTAATCGGTGGTAGTGACTATGATATTTTAAGGGTAAAATCACTAAAGTTGCAATAACCTTTGAACCATGCAGCAGTTTTTACTGCAATGGGGGTTAAAAAATCCTAAAGAAATCATGCATTTTTCATCTGAATCGAATCTACAGGTGTGGTCTTTATCTCTGTACACATTACAAACACGCACCACACACACACACACACACACACACACACACCCACACATACATGACTATGAATATCATTATTTGTTTGGATTCAGTCAAAAAGAAAGCAAAAATTATTCCAGATTTAAAGCATGGGTAGAAGTATAATCTCTATACCTATAAAAAAAATTGGTAGGCCTATTTATTTATAATGTATCCTGAATTTCTATCAAAAGATAATTTGATATTATTATACAACTACACAATCTTACTAAAACCATCGACCCATCTCATTTATTAATCTACGGTTCAGTAAGTTTCTGATAAATTTATCACCCAACTTTGTATCAAATTCTTCTAATTTTCGTACAGCTTAGTATCATTCACGAGTTTGCCAATTTGCTATGAACCTTACTGTCGTTATCGACGGCTTTTGACTTTTAAAGTCAAAAGTTATAGTTATCTTTTAAGCTCACGTTCTAGAATCAAGGCATGAACTAAATTGTTTATGTAGTTTTTTTAAAATACAAAATGCTCATGTTTAAGCTCCATTTGAGTTTTGTGATATTTCATCAAAGACTCTTAAGGGGTTAAACAAATATAAAATTAGACTAGGGTTTTCATAATTGTATTGTGATATATACCTTTCGAGGAGAGAGATCTCATAGAAATAGTTTTCTAGTTAATGAAGGAGTTACTTCTTTTTAGGTTGGCTTTAAGCCAAAGCCACTAGGGGTGGGTGTTGCCATCCTATAGTAAATATATTGTCTACCATTCTACAATTAGTGGTTGGTGGGGATTGAACCCATAGTCACCAAGGACAGAAGGCATGATCAGCCTCATCTGTTTCAATTCAGTAAAAATGATTACATTGAGTTACAAAAATCATCTCA